TTTTTACAAAGGGAAAACATTTGGTCTGCTTTTGGGTGGGCCACCACATTTGTTTTCCCTTCCCAACTTCGGGGGCCATAGGGGGATTTTTTTCACCTAGACCTGGCATGCACATTCTGTTGGCTGCAACAAATATGCCCATGAAACAAGTATTTTAAAGATAAACTATGGAAATTGGTTTTTTTGGGACTTTATTAGCGCAAGGCGCCAATTTTATGGGCCATTAGATCAGCCCTTCAAGAACGCAAAATCAGTGTTTAGAAATACAACTCCTTCATCAAAAGATGGTAGGCAGTCTACAAATTTTGAAGTAAAACAAATCACCACAGGGCCTAGATTTACTGCTATCTTTATTTCTTAAAATAGATGGCTTATATTTAATGCATTTTATCTCTATAAAATAAATTAATTTTTTGGATCTTTTTCATAATTTTCATGAACACCTTTACCAAGATTAGTATGGTGTGTATGCCAAATTTGCAGTGAAAAAATTGCCCCCATGGGCTCCCTAAAATGGGGGAGGGCAGGTATTGTTCTAGTTCAACCTTTGGCAGACTACATCTTTTCCCTTTCAATGAATGTAAAAAGGGAAGGCTATAGTTCCCGTATATCATATTTATCAAGGGTGTGGTTTCTATAAGATTGTGATCTTAAACAATCTAATTAAGGCGCACCTCCAAATTCTATCATAACATGTAATTTTGTTGTATTTTTTTTTTAGAATTATCTGAAAATCTATTTTTATATCTAATTATAAAATTTTAAACTTCAACAATGATTAAAATCAATTAGATCTATAAACACATGAAAATATTGAAAAGTGTTGGTCTAGATAATGTGTTACAATATGCGCTATTTTTGGGACTCATTTTTTTTTTTTTATACATATTCATATATATCGATGTTGAGATGATCAATTCGAGTGTTTTTCAACATCAAAAACGACTTTTTATGATGATTTTTTAGGTGCATCTTTAATTCTACATTTTAAGGTTGCAACTTTATATAAACTTTTTCCATTTATCGAACTTTGCATTATTTTATTCAAACTAGGGAGCAACTCATGCTTGTACAGAACCTTAGACATTCTCATCTAGTAGAGTAATTTATTAAAACAAAATATAACTAAATCATGTTACATAATATTAGTGTAAATAAAGTAATTTGCCATTAAAAATCCATCGCATCAAATTATCTCAATTAATATAGATAACTACTACGATACACATTACTTTAAAAAAGTAACGAAAATAAACGAATTTTTGTTGTTAAATTTAGATTAAATAATAATATGAATATGGCCAAAGTTATCCCAACTTTTTCTTCATTGAGACGTTTGGGAATGGTACGTACATGTGTTTTACGTGTTGTTGCAATTTTGATATGGGAATGGCAGTTGTATATATTTTACACATGGGGGCACACATGAAAGGATCCCTATTTAAGCATGCTAACAGGCTGGGGTGACCCCTAGGCTTTTGGGTTAGGACCTAGTTCGGTGTAGGCTCTGTTAGGATTTAAGGACCCTCTTAAATGCAGAAATAGTACTCTCAAAAGTTGGATCCCACTAAGATCATGTACTTATCCAGCTAGAAGCAAAATATGAGAGAGCACAAGTCATATTACGAATAAATAAAGCACGAAACACATGCCACAACACAAATATTTACGTAGTTCACCCCAAGAGGGCTATATCGACAAATATTTGTGTTCTCGTGGCATGTGTTTCATGCTTTATTTATTCGTATTATGACTTGTGCTCTCTCGTATTTTGCTTATAGCTGGATAAGTACATGATCTTGGTGGGATACAACTTTTGGGATTCTTGTTTCTGTATCCATGAGGGTTATTAAATTATAACAAGTGGTACAAGGCTAGTGTTTGTGCATTTGGTTGAAGAAATGCACATGAAAAAATATATATGAGCGTTTTATTTGAGGTGGAAACATATGATAGCAAGCACAATCTTTCCAGCAAGAATGATGAAAGAAATTTATTAGGTAAGAGATGAAGAATTCATATAGCTATCAAATGGATGTTAGCACGGTGAGCAGGTAATTTGGATATCAAGGTGAAGATTGTTTGATATAGTGATATCCAAAATCACCCACATAAGGAAATCTCATATTAAGTGGGATTGGATTGATATTGATAAGTTTCTTAAATAAAATAGAAATAAAAAAATATTATAACCCTTGGATATCTATTGGTTTTTGAGATATATGTAAAATATATAATAAGTTTTCTATTTGATGTAGATTTCGAACCTTATGTATATGAGATCAAATTACAGATAAATTGTGTGTGCCAAGGCCTCGCCTTAGAGAGAAGAGAGTTTCCTATAGAGAGAAACATCATAGATGTGCCTCCTGTAGATTGAGAGATTGATTTCATATATAGATGCGGTTCCCATTAAGAATTTGGATGGTTTCCCCTTTTAGAGAGATAAAGTCTCAGTTGCTCTCAAGATTCTCCTACTGATGATATGTATCTATTTTTTAACAGTGGTTTAGCTGTGGAATAGATATGAGAGATCGACAGGTGGTGTCAGTTGGGAGATTGGGTCTAAAAAGGATTACTCGACTGGATTTTGTCAAGGTTAGAGAGGTATCTCTATATCTCAAAATTTATTATGTAACTTTCATTGGTATAGTGGATTTCAGTTTAGCGTGCTCGTGGATACAACCCTCTTGGGGTGAATCACGTAAATCTTTGTGTTATTATGGGGTGTGTTTCATGTTTTATTTATCGTATCATGGCTCGTGCTCTCTCATATTTTGTTTTTAGCTGGATAAGTACACTATCTTAGTGGGATCCAATTTTTGAGATTCATGCTTCCACATCTAAGAGGGTTCTTAAATCTAATAGGCTCGGGCCAAGCACACTTTCAAACCGGTTTTTACTAGGCTCGGTGTATTTTCGAGCTATGGCCGGGCTAGCCTGAACCGGTCGAGGCCGGACCCACATTCGGACCAAGCTTTTACTAGGCCCGACGTATTTCTGAGGTATGCCTAGGCTAGCCAAGACCCGGCGTACCTTCCATGATTTCTTCGATCCTAATCAGGACCCAAATCATTGAGAACCCTATTCTTGTTAGGAGTTCCACTTTTTGCTGGACAACATCAACAACCAACAACAAAAGGATAAGAGAACAATCTTCTATTTGATGTAAAATGAAAAAAAAAAAAACCTGATTTGAAAAAGATAGAGAGAAGTGTTTGGATGGCTACTTTATCATTTATTTAATTTAATAGTTTGCTAGCATATCAGACATAAGAAGCTCTTTTTTCTGTAAAGGTATTTGTTTACTGGGAGTTGCAACTTCCATCACTAGTGCAGTTCCCATGTTTATCTGCGGGAAAGTGCAGCGTCGGTGCTTCCAATTCAATATAATTTAGATGTTGTTTGGAGAAGCCGCGGTTTGCAGCCCCTTCTTCCATGAAACAAACGTCCCCTTGGGTCCATTTTGATGGACCAAATTTCCTTGGTAATCCTATTAAGCGTGTCTTCTCTTCAGCTGCCATAACGAGTGTATCTTATCTTCCGCTGCCATTAGGAGTGAATTTCAGATGGCTTGGTCCAGCATATACTTTTAAGGAAACGTATGCTTTTTGAAAATTTCCCTCCAGGAAATAGGTTTTGTTGAGCAAGTCAAGTTCTCATGTTTGGTTCATGATAAATATTTATCTGGAAAATTACATCGGAGCAAATTGCTAAATTGTAAGAAATCTCCAACTTTTCATGGGAATATAGTTTCATACCGACTAAGATATCAACCAAATTTTATTGAAAATGTATCTCGGAAAAAGGTTTCATGCCCAGGAAACAACGAAACCGATTTCTTGAAATTTGCCCTCATAAAGAGTGCTTTCCAATGAATCAAATGTCCTAAGAGAACTTTTGGTGCCTTGTTTGTCACTGGGCTTGAAATGTCTCGGGCCTAGGGCAGGCTAGCCTTGGCCCTAGCCCAATCTTAACCCCTACATACTCGACCAAGTCCTAACTTGGCTATAAGGGCCTTGACTCAAGCCTGCCCTGGTCCTATCATGCCGGGCTAGGCCAGGCCAGGCCAAATACAATCCAATAAAAAAAGAGAAAAAAAGTAAGAGAATGAGGGTTGGGCTGGGCTGGCCCTGCCATGGCCGTACCCCTATCTAGCCCATCCCTACCCTCAAGCCTTAGTGGTCAACTGCAAAAACTATTGTATCTTGATTAAGGAATGATTTTATTAGTAGATATCCATTTTGTCAAGAGATTGTATACTATGAGATAATTTTTTTGTTACAAGTAGTTCATGATAATTTGTAGTCAATAAATGTGAAATCCAATAGATAAAAATGTGTCACAACATTCAATAAATTTTATTTTTGACTTTTTTTTTTTTAGGTAATTCAGTGGGAAAGTTAATAACCTACACATTTTTTCAATAGATTATGGAGTTACATTTCGAAAGTGTTAACTGGATCAGCGGTAGGAATAGATGCCACATGGTAATTAGGTGTGGGGATGCTACTACCACGACTCCAACAGCATTCCTAATTTAATTTTGGACTTTATACTCAAACAATGACATATCCTTAATCACCAAGTTTCAAATATTACTGTCTATAATGATTATAATATCTTTGTATCAAAAGTAAATAGTCATATCACACATGTTTTTTTTGGTTAATTGCTAAATAGTAATACGACGTGAAAGTATAAAATGAGACCATTTACCTTTAGTAAATAGTGGTGACATCAATGTAGGTCATTGGATGTAAAATTGGGTGGCTGAAATTGTTCCATAAATTAAACTCAAACTTCAAAATTTTTTTTCTCGAATGTAACACATCCATGCTATAAAATTTTACATCGACCACCTAAGTTAAATGGTCTGATTTTATACAACCTCTAAAGATATTGGTTGTTAAAACTAATTTTGATTATTGTCCTTTTGGGAAAAAAAAGAAAGAAAGAAGCGCGGATAAGGGCGTAGGAACTGTTATTTGTCATTTTAATCTAGAGAGAGAGAACTGGAGAGAGAGAGAGAGAGAGCGCGCTATCCTCTCTTTTCGCAAGGATACTGTTTTTCTCTCTTTCCAGTTGAGACTTGAGAGAGAGGAAGTGGGATACTGAGTTGCCTCCTCTCCTTCTTGACATCATCCACAAATAGGAAGACTGCAAGTGATTCTGCCTACTCTAATGGCGTCTTGTTGTATCTCTCTCTTCTGCTATCCAGATTATTCTCTCTCTCTAACCCCTTCTTGTCACTCTCTCTTCTTCCCTCTCTCCTCATCCACCTGTCGTTTCAATTCCAGTACACTCCTGACGCCCTTTTGTTCCGATAGCACGGAGGGTTTTGGAAGGAGAGCTTCCCAGAGAGGAATACACAGAGGAAATCCCAGCTATGAGGTACCCATTTTCTCTGCATTTTTTCTTTCAGGATATCTGTATATTTCCTGATGACTTAATTTTTGAACTTATTTTATGGCATTTGCTTGATGATATTGAAATAGGGTTATTTTGTAATTTGAGTATGTGGGTTTTGGATTAATTTTTTCTTTTTGGTGAAAGGTCACCAAATGCTTTGGTTCTTGACCATGTTTCCTTATTGAACACAAACTGTATGGAGTGTGCTTTCCTGTTTTTTTTTTTTTGTTGGTTTGTTATTGATGAACTTTGCTTGACATGACGAAGTAGAGTCTTTAGGTTTTAACAAGCGAATTTATATAAGATAAGTAGTAACAGTTTTCAATTTTCTTCTACGCTGAGGCACTTTAGGGCTAACATTCTAATGAAACAAACCCAAGTGTACCGCACACCATGGTGTATGGTACATCAGAAAGGCATCCACTGTGTGTTCCTGACAATAAATAACTCAGAGTTAATCTCCACTGTCCATCATTGGGAACATACAACCTTATGGAATGCCACATACCATACACCACTGCTGTATGGGATACTTTCCCTAAACTTCACGAGCTAGCTATGTAATATAGACATGCGTGTCCATGGTTTTTGGCATGTGTCGACCAACCAAGGTCATGACACTTACATCTGACATCATAGAAATTTAGACATTCGATTGTATAGAAACTTAAGACATTTATTCTTTACCTTTCTTGTCGAATTCCCACTCCCCATATCTAAATGACATATAAATGTGTCATGTTTGAGTGTTCAATTTTGGAGTTCACAGTTATGTCACTCATTCATTTCAGAAGTTAACACATGAGTCCATGTCTTGTAACGTATTGCACAAGTGTTTGAAATCGTATTATTGGCACATTTGGTTTGGAATAATTTTCTAAGAGATATGGTATAATGTCCATAGCATGTGGATGCTTGAAATGTGCGCGCAAGCACCCTTCAATGGTTCAGATTGAACTTAGCTTCATCCAAGGGCTACAAAATATTTTTGTTTTTTATTTTTACTTTTATTTGAAAATATATTTATCTAAAATTTGGGGCATAAACTAATTTTTATAAGGGAAATCAAATAAAACTAGTAAAAAACTCCAAAAGCACATCTCTACTTCACCCACCCAGCTCCAATTATTTGTGCTACATCTTCCTCAATCTGTTCATTCTCATGGATTATTGGCCCCAAGATATCAATAATATCTTTTAGGTACTTCTTGGTCATCAATCTGAACTACTACCTCGTTTCTTGACCTATTTTTACTAAACTTGGATTCCATATATTGTCTTAGTTTGATTAATTTTAAAACCTTTAGATTCTTGAGCATTCCTCCAAAGTCGAACTTTGGATTGACGCTGTCTCTAGTCTCATCAATCAAAACTATATCATTTGCAAACAACATACACCAAGGTATGTCGTCATCCTATAGATACCTAGTTAATTCGTCCATAACCAAAACAAAGAGATATGAGCTCAATGTTGACCCTTGATGTAGGCCTCTTTTTACTGAAACACACTTATCTCTCCACTACTTGTCAATGCTCCTTTGTACATGTCTCTCACCATGTCAATATATCCTCTAGAGGATCCTTTCTTTTTTAACACTCACCGAGTTAACTCTCTAGGTATTTTATCATATGCTTTCTCTAAATTAATAGAGACCATGTAGAAATATTTTCTATTCTTCCTGAACTTCTCAATCAAATGAGAAGTAGGAAACTTCTCAATAAAAAATATTTTGTCATTTTCTAGTCTTTATTTTTATTATATTTTTCTTATAAATTACTTTACAACCAAAATTTCGGATAAATATAATATTTACATAATAAATAAAAACCGGAACTAGATTTTTGCCGTTGGATACATACTATTTAATTTAAGCCATAGAAAGGGTCCACATGACGTGGGCGATAGACTTTTCCTTTTTGAAATAAGTCAGTACTCTTAGTGTGACTTTTCAACACATTTTGAGTGTGGTGAACAAGGAGGCCTATAAGTTGGCAAAAGAGGGAGTGTGGAAACAAGGTCTGGTAATTACAAAATTCATGTCAATTTTGTATATAACTGATATTCCATTTTGTACATCGATAACTCAATTTTATGAAAATACACATGCACACCAATTTTTATCAATGTAATAAATTTAATGACCAAAAAAAAAGAAAAACTAATATTGGTCTTAGCTTGTTAACAGAGTGATATGCTAGCATAGAACAGAATGAAGTACTAATAACAATCTAGAATTTGTTATGGTTGATATTCTTAGCGTGTGAACTTTGGTTTGACTTCTCTAAAGTTATTTTTTTTTAATATCAAATTTCAGAATGTTTCAGTGGCATCACAGAAAAGACTGTCTGGTAAGTTCAAAAATGAAAGAGGTTATGGACCTTCAGATGGTACACAGGGGGAAACAAGCCAATCTAAATCAATGGCTTTTAAGTCTCTTGGGATGCAAAGGAAGGAAAAAGCAATTGTACATGACCTGAAAGAGCAACAGGTCTGTTTAACCTGTCCTTTTTTATTACTTGTTGGGACATCATTTGGATTGCAGCAATGCTTATTTATGGAGGGAGATGTTTTCATGATACAAAATATTTCTGTATTAGTACTTGTATAATATAATAAAGTAGTTTTGAAACTAATGCTAGACTGATGTATCTTTTGTATGCTCTGTTAGAATACAATTTAAAAGCAGTAGATTGTGAATATTTGAGCTGAAAATCACCAGTTTTGAATTTAGAGATCCTTGCTGCAACTATATTCATGTCATCTTCGTCAAAGAGATGTGGTTTGCTATTATTTCACATCCTCGTTTTTCCATTACATTCAAGTTCTAATGTGGTCATCAAATTACCCTTTGTGCATGAAATTGGAAAAAAGAGAGAGAATAAAACAACTAAATTGGCACAACCGTTTTATCAAAAAATTTTAATATTTAAAGGTGTGAACTATGGCCTATGAAATCGATATACTAATATATACATGTGGGCGCAAGTGAATCATATTAATCAAATAATAAGAGTATCCAAGTAGAAATGAAGTTTACTGATAAGAGGAAAAATGAAAACACCGGTTGCTTTGTTATGGCTCACCCATATTAAGTTGCAATCTGACCAGTCAGAGTTTTACTTAGTCTTGAATAAGACTATGTTCTTATACAATCAATGTTGTTGTGTAGACAAGGTGGCATAATTTTTCTTTGACACTCATCAAACTGATGCATATAAATTTAAAGAATAAGAGTATGCCAACTAGAAATAAAGCTGAACTTTACTGATATAAGGAAAAAAAGAAAAGAAAAATCAGTTGTTTTATCATAACTCAGCCATACCAGCTTGAAATTTTACCGGTCTAAGCCTTACTTGGTCTTGATTTTGACCTTACTCCCCTGATTCATCTCAACAATACTGAACAAGTTATCTCACAACTTACCATGGTCAAATTGGAGTTCAAAGTTTTCTCTTTGAGAATAGTGACTCACTGCAAGATAAATCTGTTCATTCATGGAGCACTGTTTTTGTGGCAACCTAAAAAGTCTGGTGATGCCCCTGGAATATGGAGTAACTTAAGTTACTTGAATTAATTAGAGGCAATCAACTTCTTTTTTTTTTTTGAGAGAAATTCATTATAATCGCATTACTTAGTAGTAAAATACAAAAAGGTGGTGACCAAAGTGGTCACACTATACAAGCCTGGAAGGGTCCAAAAAATACAAGGCAAGAACCAGCCGTTAGAGGGGGAGGCATAAGACAGAGAGTTGGCACAGAAGCAAATGTCTGAGAGTATATAGAGGGAGGCTCCGTCTTTTGCCGGACGATCAGCTTCTGAGTTAGCTTCTCTATAGGCATGTCTCTAGGAAATCAACTTCTTTTAGATGAAGACATGTCAAGGGCATAGATATCCTACGCAGTTAAAGCTAGAAAAAGCAGGTGTCGGGAAGGAAGTTACAATAGAAGACCTCTACTATAAATAGCTTGCATAACTGGATAACTCTTGTCTACAACATTATAGAAAAAAAAATAAAGAAAGGGGAAAAAAAAATCTCATCGAGCTAAGAACATTTAGAAAACTCCAATTCATTTTTGGAAACGTTTCTAAGCATTTGGGGATTCAGTGAACAACTGAAATGTTTGGCTTTCTGACGTGTGTGCATGTGCATGTGCATGTGTTCATGTGTTTCTCCTTTATGTATAGTTTGTAGCTCATCACTCACCATGAGTTTTGATTTTGTTTTTCTAATATGGAGTGTGCATTAGGTCTTCTATCTTAGCTTGAGAACCTAATGTTTGGATCTAAGATTTTGCGTTCTTCTATGAATTTTCACAGTTTTGAGAGAAATGAAAATTGTTACATCGGGAATGACTTTTATTGATTTCTGACTTCTTATTATAGTACTTCTTTATGTGTCTCAGTAAAGCTTACATTCCTAAACCATGTGTTTGGGATTTGGTTTTAGTGCATTCTAATGAGGCGATTTGTATTCTCAGATCAATGAAGCTAGCACTCTACAAGATGGAGCTTTCCTAAATGCTGTTGTAAAGGTATTCCTTAGACTTACAACTTAAATACTAACAAGTAGATCGTAGACAGATGAACAACTTTGTTATCTGAGTAAACTTTATATGATTGTTTTCTATGTTTTGAGGTGATAGCTTCCTCTGTCGTTCTTTCTCATTTATTTTATTTGATGATCAATTCAATCTCATGCAATACTGGTAATTATCTCATGAAGATCAGTACTTCGCACTGTTTAATCTCATGGAACAATATCTTGATCTCTTTTTCACTACAGATTCTTTTTCACTACAAATAGAATCTGTTTTCTCTAAAATTCCGTAGAGTCATTTGATGCGGTGTATTTGCTTTCTTGCAACAAGATTTCTTTATACTTGCCACGTTGTAATAAGATACCGTGTTACTGTTCATTTCCATATTTGATTTATTTTAGTATCTGGTAGCTTAAAAGCTCTGTATTATATCATTGGATGTGTTCGTAAGGTAGTAATAGCATTCGTATAAGTAAAGTGGAAATAGAGTGGATAGCCAACAGACCATAGCAATGGATATTATTTGCAATAATACTTCATTGCACAAATTATTCATCACATATATTATAAGGCAAAGTTAAAATTTTAATAATAATTTTAATGGTCATAAAAAGTAATTGTCTTCTTGGAAGCTGTCTCTTAGATGGCTTGCAATAATTAACCATGTATGGCAAACATTTTTGGGGGCTGAGAAGAAATTCTCTCTAAACAGTTATGACTTCTCTCTCTATTTGCATAAAAAATTATGTCACTGATTTCAGTGCTTTTCTGTTGAGATTGTACAGGTTCTTGGCAGACTTGAAGTTGTAAAATTTAGTTTCATGGCACACCTAAGATTCCTCTTCTATCTTCTTATATAGGTGATATCCTCCCTACTATAGAACTTTGAACTTCCATCTTCCTTAATGTAGAGCTTAGTACCTTATCTTTTCAGCTGCAGAACCCTAGTTTCATGTTTCTCTTTCAAGTAGTTCTTGGAGTTTTATAAAACATAGAACAAGCTTGGCATTCCTCCCCTTAAGAACCAACTGAACTTTGTACTGCACTAATCGGAAGTTAACTGTCTTTTACTTCTCCCTACAAAGAACGTATGTACTACATGAGAATCTCTTTTCATGAAGTAACCATGAGAAGATGGAGAGCGTGTGTGTGTGGGGGGGGGGGAGACGATGTTCATTTCACCCCATCAAACTAGCAGAAACGTACACATTCACCATCTCGTAAAATGGCTGTAACTGCCAACCTAGCAACAACAAAAGAAACAACATATATGATTTAATTGCAGTAACTACCTCCAAATGCAGAGCCTCGAGGGCTGAGTAGTGGCTAATCTACCCCGACAAGATGTACAAGAGATCAATGAATGACTTGAACAACTGCCTGGTCACCTACTTCAATGGTCTGCGACCACCATGGAATTACACCATTGCTCAAATCAAGCAAATTTGGAAGCTGTGATCTCCATTCCAAGCAACACTAAGTGGTAGCAGGCACTTCATTTTGAAATTTGGAAGCAACAAAGACCTAGAAAAATTCTTGAAAGGAGTACCATGGTCATTGGTGGTAGATGTCACAGGGCCAAATCTATCATTTAGCCAACTTGCATGGCATGACGTCACAGTCCTACTTTGACTACATTATTTCATAGATCCCTTCACACGTGTCGTTGTCTATGCATATCAAGAATATCTAGAATGGAAGGTAAAAAAGTCTTAACTTTTCGACACGACTGTACAATATATTGCATTTTTATATATATAATATCCTAAAACTAATGTGATTGCATAAGTGGTTTAGATGGTAGCGTGCTCTTTTCTGACGAAGAGAGAGAGATCCATGGTTCGAGGCACTACATCAACCTATCAAAAGATAATGTGATCGAAGTGTCAATGTGGGAAATTTGTCCTTGCCTTTTGGCATTAGTGGAGTTCCAACCCATGAACCTCTATGTTACATCTCCACACTATCACTTAGACTCTTTGATTTATTGGCAATGAATAGAAGAGTTATATAATAAGTTGATACTCTACTCAGAATTGTTTGTCTTCCAACATGTACAGTCACAGATGAGTGCCGTGCCTAACCATGTCAATCTTGTCTATGTGTCGACACATGTCCACACGCTATACTAATCCCCATATGGAGTGCTGGGGTAACACTGCTTGACTAAGGCAAGGCCAGCCTTCCATAAGCCAGACGAGGAAAGAGCAAACGAGCATACAAGCAAGATCTCCCTTCTCAAGGGTCCTGCCTAGCAAGGTGTTTATATTGCTCCCACATACACACGAGCCCACTCCCCACATTGTCGCCCACTGTTATAATAGCCATTAAGGCTTGCACCATATTCACCATCCTCAGCCTTGTTGTGGTAGTTATACTACCCCACTCTCCACACTTCCAATGCATAGAAACATGGCTCATTAAGGGAGGTTACAAATCTTGTCAGCCCAATCTAAGGGTCTTAATTGCCCATACGTGTCTATTCAAACCTGCATGGTCTCTTAGTCCCTTACAACGATTCTTTGCATAGTCAGTCCACTAGATACGCATACACTCATTCTCACATGGCTAATGGCTGTTACACAAATTCATGTTTGGTGCAATTATATGGATCAAATTCAAATGCGCTTGCCTCTTGCACATGGTCCATGCCTCATAGTTTTAAAATGAGGCTAGAGTGCATTATGCAGTCGCATAATGCATTATCGCATATGTGGACATGTGATGCGCTCGTTCATCACTCGCATATGCGGCAGCATTGCATCATGAGCAATGCACGTGCACCCGTATATGTGCTTTGTGCTCATGGGCGGAAAATGAGCCCATGAGCTTGGGCAAAATTCACCCGGTCACTCACAAAAAAAAATAAAAAGGAAAAACAGTGAACAATAAAACACATTAGAACCATTTTACACAGTCCTGAGGTGATTAAACCGGTATTACTGGGAATCTTAAAGCATGTCCACAAGTAACTGATGAGATTAGAAGAGAGATAAGGGAATATAAAGATAGCCAAGAAAAGCAAAGAAAAGAAGAAATGAGACAAAAAGAATTGATGGAAGAAATTCAAGTATTTGATGACTTTTCAAATTGAGAGTTTAAGAGTGGATTATCATTTTCTTTTATGTCCTGAAGTCTGCCTCTTTGGAGTTTGAACTTTAAAGTTTAGAACTATGGACATTTTATATGAGTTGGAATGGATTGCTTTGTTTTATATGTCAATTGTGTTTGACATTTAAATTATTAAAGGTTAGAAGTTAGAACAACAAATTCTACTACTCTTTAGCAGGCTATTAGGGGACTTAGAGTCCTCAAATATTGAATCTGATACTTTTGTTTTTAAATTATTCATTGCATTAGAGGTGATGTGCCCGCATAGAGATGCATCGGACCCCCGAGTGCATTGGGTCCACATCTCGCATTTTAAAACACTATGCCCATGTGTTGTCAAGTTGAGTTGGCCATATTTCAACTAGCCAAGCCTTCGCCTGAGTTGGCCTTAGCCATCCATTCGCATTTTGCACCATCTTGCACAAGGTCTCACACCTAGTGCATTTATCCATTAGTCCCACATGTGTGCGCACCATATGCCAACATTGCACTAGCCACGCCTCTTGCTCGGTCAAGGCTTAAGGGACTTCGCGTTCTTTATGTATGTTTGTTGGTCTAAAGAACTGGCTTGCTGCGAGAGATAGCTACTCTGTCAAACTAGCACAAGTCCACCGAGGACTTGCGTGCCCTTTGTAATTTGTCTTGTTGCCAAGGGGAACCGAGCACCCCATTTCCCCTAAGGGCATGGCGCTAAGGGAAGGGGTCCAACAGTAGGCCTCTCAAACTTCAACCATGGTATTGCGGCAAACTTCCTCAAAGCACAAATAACAGCGACGTCCCCCTGTGGATCTGATTGTCAAACCTGCCACAATGTTGTCAGCACCCAAACTTATTGTGGATGTTCTCTTTGGCAATTGCTACCCCCCTTTAAATAGATGAGGTTTTAAAGATGAGGTAGTTAAATAGAACCAACAAAAGCAATAAGCTCGGGTCCTTGTTGAGATTGATCTTGATGTTGAATCACCGAACTCCACTCATATCTATGTTGGAAAACAAAGAAGTTTCAACCGAGGGAGGTAGGCCCACTTATTGTAGAAGCTGCTCAAGAATCACAAAGAAATATGGAAGAAACTTAATATTTGTCATTTGTTCCAAGAAGGGGACTCTGGCGGGGTAATATTTGTCACTTGTGCACAGTCGATGATGAGAGGCATGGTTCCCTTTCCATTTCATGCAAATATGTAAATAAAATATGCAAAGTAATCTTGTGGAGCTTCAATATCAATACTATAGCTGGTTCACGTATCCCTAGCTTCCTATCAAATTGGTTCAAAAGGCAATTTACAAACAAATACCTTGCCAAGATTTGGAAAGTCTCACTTCCTGCCACCATATGGGTAATGTTGCAAGAATGAAATCGGAGGGCAAATGAATTCACCTAAAACTACAAAAGGCAGTTCAAGGGTTCAAATCCATTAAGTTTGTCCCAAAAACCAAATAAGATGACCTACCTTTATTTACCCAGAAAAATCCTTCCAAAGGTTTCTAAGGAAGGTAAATTGGAAGATCAAGAATAGCATGCCAGAAAGTATTTTTGTGCCACTAAAAGATGAAAGGGAAAGAACCATTTATAAGAGATGGGAAGTCGAGCTCCCAAATCCTCTTGTCACACATAGACTTTCCACAGTCAGGATCTTATGTACATAAAGGAGCGGTAGAATATATAGTGGAAAAACCAATGTGTTACTGAACTCTTGTACTTTTTCTTTTCTCCTGGTTATACAACAGATGGGGACCTGCCGACCTCTTTGCGTTTAGTGTAAATGAAAGGAACATACTAATTACCATATAAGTTACCATATAAGTTATGGTTTCATGTTCTGATACTGTCTTAATATATATCAGATTCCTACACTTAGACCTTTTGAACAATTCTTATAGGAAGTAACCGTTAACATCTCAAAAAAACCTTATAAGAAGCAATTGTTCCTCCCTGCCTTCCTCATTCAGGTCTTGAAAGGGGAATTATCCAATTAGCACCCCATAATGTCACCATAGATGTATGAAAGTTTTCTTAACATGTCAAGTTCATCTGTAATTCTTGACAGCTCTGTCCTTTATGCAGCTTAGATCATGTCTAAACCTTGTGCCCCCCCACACCCTCTACCTCGCAAAAAGAAAAGAAAGGAAAAGAAAAAGAAACTAAGATCACAATGACTGATGGACCAGAACTGATTTATAGCATCATGAATCCCTGAAGAGGTAGCTTCTTTGTGGTTCTGTTTGAATCCTGTCCAGTGATATGGACTTTTTTACTGCTCGCATCAAAGCTAAGCTCAAAGCATATTCCTCTTTCGGCTATTGTATTCAAGGCACTTCGTCACATCATGTGTTATGCGTTCTCTTTTATAAGAAAATGGAATTGCTGTATTTATGTGGCATCGTTAAGATTGCTGATTCAAAATCGCTTTATTTTGTAGTAGGTATTGCTGATGAGTCAAATATATGGATATTTGAACATCTCTCTTGCCTCTAGGTTTGTAAATGTTAATATTATCTCTTGGAGCTGTGAAATGTTTTTCCTTCTCATAAATGTAACTTACATGTGTTGGTTCCTCTGAAAACCATTCCTTCTATGGCCGTTAAGATATTTGGTTTACTTTGTTTTTAGGTCTACTGCACTCATACTGCTCCAGATTACTCCCTTCCTTGGCAAAAGCAAAGGCAATTTACAAGTACAGGCAGGCAAGTTGCAATTATTTTATTTATTTAACTTTGTTGTTCCATTCAAATAAACATTAGGAATGTGTCGTAAACACTGGGCAAATTCAATTGATTATTCTTTTCACAAGCTCTGTTTACTGACTGTGCCAGCGCCTTTATGATTGGGGATGGGAAGCTTTTGACGAATGCACATTGTGTTGAGCATTATACACAGGTGAATGGACCACTTAAGCTCTTTTCTTGGAGAGGTGAAAGCATGTCAGAAATTGTAGGAGTTTGTATTTGTTATGCTCTTGACATTTGTATTTCAACCGAGATCTTGGATTAAGATGTGATAGTTAATCGGCAGCATTCTGTTTTAAATTTGCCGAGTTTTTCAGAAATTCAATTTCCATGACTCTGGTGTAAATTTTTCTCTCTAGAAGTTCTCTTGTAAATAACTTAACGAGCATCATTTTTCTTTCTGACAAGTAAATGGATGCCCATGAGAGAGCAAACAGATTCCAACAGATGACTTGTTTTTGTGCACGATGGTAACAATTGAGTGTGGGATTTAGTATTCCATAACAAAAAATGGGAATTCAATATGTGTTCCAAATTAGCTGGCACTCCTTGGTCGATTCATGTCACACTCCAATCTGTGTGCTGATGATTCTCCATTTGTCCTTGTTGTGCTCAATTTAGCTTGGGGTTTTGGGGGGGGGGGGGGGGGGGGAAGGGGGCGTGTGTGCATGTGCGCGTGTGCCCTAGGGCAGGCCGCTAAAGCATCCCACC